ATTCCCCTACAAAAGGGAACTTCACTGGCATAAAGTTGCCTAAAGTATCTTTACTGCCTTTTGTGCCAGCCACTCCCCATAAGAGGAAGGATGAGCTCTGGTACACCTGAGCTGCCAGTGGCATACAGTCCTTGCACTGAAGCTAACTTGCTATGAGATTGGGTTGCCCTACATCAGGAAACCCCAACCAACTCCCAGGCCGCCGCCTCCTGCTCCATCTGAGCACACGATGTGGCAGATTATGCCCATTGCTCTCAGATTATGCCCCGTGTAACCCTGCACCATTAGAGTTATGTAGGTTTGCTAGGGTCTCATTGAGGGCATAATCTGAAAACAATGAGGTCTGCATGGGTGTAGCTGTGCGCCTAATTTGACCTGCAGAACTTCCGTTACTGGTGAGGTGCAAGAGGGAGAGAAATCCAGTTTCAGAGCAAAGGATGGCACGCTGAGGACATTTGTTATGGAGATAAGTGAGGCATGAGGAACATGGTGCCTCAGAAAGCCAGCATTTACACGGTCCCTTTTAGGTCCTGCCTGTGTGTACATCTAATCTTCATCTCCATCATTCCCTTGGGCTCCAGTCTTCTTGTTTTGCTGCTCTGTCTCTTCTTGCTCTCATTGTGCCTTCTTTTCACACAGCTGTCTGCAATGACCTCCTCCTCCCTGTGCACCAAGTGTCCTCACTTTCCTCTTTGAAATCTCTCTTCTGCACTCTATTTGCCTTGCTTTCCACTGCTGATTTCTCTTCCACTGCTGTCCATTCCTCTTGCAGCTTTTATTTTAAAATACAAGAATTTACATTGCCTGCTGTGTAATCTCTTTCCTTCTCCCATACTCTTAACCCTCATCTGTCCTTTCCCAGGACCCTTCCTTTGTCTGTTATCTTAGTATTCTGTGTTTGTCTCTTTCCCTGCATGGGCTACCCTTATTGCCAGTTACAGAGCTGGGGAGGCTGGGGTGGGGGGAAGTGATCAGGCACTGCAGGACTGCCCCTGCTGGTGGGTGGTGGATGGGGCAACGAGGGGTGGGGTGGGAGTGGGGAGGTAGGCAGAACCATGATTCTCCTCCCCCCACAATTCTCTGGCCAGAGGAACTAAGACAACATAAAAGAAGTAATCTGCTGCTGGAGAAGGGCGATCACAGACTACTTTGCCTCTGGATCAAGAGACAAACCAGGGAACTAATTGTGACAGTCACAGTCTACACGCTGGCCTGCTCCTGGGGCAGTGCAGCTATGCAATGTAAGAGCTAGTTAGTATTATTAAACACTTCCCTTTACTTGGGGGAAGATTGCAAAGTTACAATCCTATCCTTATGTTATAAATTCTTTTGACTAGTGACCTTTTAAAGATCTCTGTTCAGAACCCTCCAAAATTATGGAGCTATACAAATGTTTATCAACAGTAACCAAAATGATCCATATGTCTACACCAGGGGAGGAAGTGTATTTTTAACATGTGTTAGCAAACACATATTAACTAGGGTAAACAAAGCAGTTACAGTTTTAACATGATTTGGCTGGTAAAGTAACCCCTTACCTCATCCAAGAAACACACATTAAAGCTACAGCTGCCTTGTCTACACTAGAATTTTAACATGTTTGCTAGCACGTGTTTAAAAATACCGCACAATTTTTCCAAGTGATGACAAGGCCTAAGTGTATGTAACATTGTGCTTGCTGATATTAAGGTTTAACAGTGTTTTCTAGAACTATAGTGCTATCTTGTGTGTAAAGGAGAATCTGGTATTATGTTCTTTTTGCTTACAGGAACTAAATTATAAAAGTTGACTTTTTAGCTGAGGTTACCTTGACAGACAGGTCCTATTTAAAGTGCACTCATACATAGAATACTTAGATATTTAATTGGGTTGTGTTGATACGTTTTTATCTCTGATTAGATCTGTGCTTTAGATTTCTGAAGTTCTTTTATCCAGTTCCAAGAATAAACATTGTATTAGGGACACAGTGATGGAGAGAGACAGTAAATAGAAATGGATTACAAATACTAGACTGACTGACTAATGGCCTCTAAGCGTTGCTAACCTTATTGCTTTAGTATATGACTAATGTTAAAAGATGGTGGAATATTAAAACTCACATTTAGAAATGAAAAATGAGAATTAAATACTAAAAATAAAATATAGTTTTCAGTCAAACTTTTAGAGAAGGACAATACACAATATGGTATAAGTAGTTGTTAATTTGCTGGGGTTTCAGTGCTGAAAAGTAAGGGATTGGATGATTCTGTTTGATTAAAAGCAGGAGCTCTTATTCATTGTCTTTTATACTTAGGAGTATAAAGACAACTAATTTATTATAATATTGGTTTGGCTGAGCATAGCAACACAGAGCCTTTTTCATGCAATCAGCTGCAGCTATTGGAGTGCAGTAATCATCCCGTTTCTAGCTTCGGAGTCTCCTTCCTCTCTCATTTTTACTTATGTGCACCTAACTTAACCTCTAGACTTCAGCCTATGCTGCTGATTGTGCTTCCCCAAAATTGCTGCCAGAAATGCTCACTCTTCCCTCCTAGAGGTTTGATCCTTGACCGTTACTCTCCCTCTCCTAGCATTGTGGGATGAAATAATGAAGAGCCCCATGGCATTATCTCTTGTGACTTGGTGGGAAGGAAGAATAGATATCCTTTCCAACTTGGGTGGCACCTGTCTACTCTCCCTTCTATGGCCTAGTGTAAAAGGGGACTGAAGATCTTGGTGTCAGGGAGGAGTATGTCCATCTTGCAGAAGAAGGATACAAGGGGAATGCTTTCTGTGTCCCTAGCAGGAGCTCTTGAATGCTGAATAGTATGTTGGTGTTGTGTCTTGGAAAGATGGGGGAGAAGGAGCCACAAACAGCCATACCTTGCAGATTTGGGCCTTGATCTTGTGTAAAAACACACACACACACACACACACACACACACACACACACACACACAGACACAAAACAACATAGAAGTTGCACTGGTTTAACATCACACCTTTAGTTAAACCAGTGCAACTTTGTGTGTGGACGCTCCCATGTCTGTTTAAACATAGCTTATATCAATTTAGCTAGAACTACTTGAGTAAAGTTAAGCATCTGCGTAAAACATTGCAGGATTGGGGCCTTGATGCCTTCTGTTACAGCTGAACTTTTTGGTATGTGTCAATTCACATGTGTATCTTTTTACACTTAAACTGTTCTCAGTTTATAAATCCAGTCTTTGGACACTGCTAAGTCACAGTTAACTTGTATCACTTTATTATGCTTCAGCAGTGAATAGCCATTTCAGTTAGCCTGTACAAGTTTGGAATACTTAACTTCTAGTATGGGAATTTCATCCCACCAAAACTAGTCTGGAGAAGAGAAGACTGAGAGGGGACATAACAGTTTTCAAGTACATAAAAGGTTGTTAACAAGGAGGAGGGAGAAAAATTGTTGTTCTTAATCTCTGAGGATAGGACAAGAAGCAATGGGCTTAAATTGCAGCAAGGGCGGTTTAGGTTGGACATTAGGAAAAACTTCCTAACTGTCAGAACGGTTAAGCACTGGAATAAATTGCCTAGGGAGGTTGTAGAATCTCCATCATTGGGAATTTTTAAGAGCAGGTTGGATAAACACCTGTCAGGAATGGTCTAGATAATACTTAGTCCTGCCTTGAGTGCAGGGGACTGGACTAGATGACCTCTCGAGGTCCCTTCCAGTTCTATGATTCTGTGACTACCTGGAAGAATTTTGAGGGACTGGGTATTATGTAATGTGGAAATGTGACCTGTATCAGGTAAATTGAGGAGTTTCTAGCATGAATTACAAATCTTAAGGACTTTTCACGATATCGTTTTAATCTCTCTCCTACCATTTTATACAGTTGACCTTATATTGCCTGTATTTTTCTGCTGTTTCGAACAAACCTTATCTCTGAAATGTCCTTGTTTTTCCTCCAGTTGGCCTTCTGTGAGTTAGTCTGAGAAAGTTACAGAGCATGGAAGCTGAAAAGCCACCTAATCTGATTGAGTGTAGGGAGGCAGGAAAGGGATATGGTAGAGAAGAACATATATTTAAAAATGTATATTTAAAAATATATTTAAAAATATACTACATAAAAACACTTTTTTTTTTTTTTATTGAACAAGAGAAAATTATGCCACAGAGCAAGGAACATAAAGCATTTCAGTTAGGATAATGCCTACAACAAAAAAGTATTCTGAAGTCCAACAATATACAAGGTCTGTTGCTGCAAACTGAAGACAACACTATTATGGGAATAAAGTTGTAGTTAAATGGTTGACCATGCTGCTAATGTGATATGTTTGGGACAAAACTGTTGGGGGAACATATCAGTTCATACGTTCATGGCATGTGTTGTGAATAACAGGTAATATTTTACAATTTTTATTTTGTTTACATAGTCTTGAATTAGTTTATAGACATGTACATGCTCAGTGCTACTTAAACAGATTTTCTGTATGTTCAAAAACCTCAATGTTGAGTATTTTGATTTGATACTTCAAAAAACAATGTTGAAATCATGCAAATCTAATGTAAACTCTATAGCTGCCAAATACTTTACCCCTTATAAGGATGCCTGTTGCAAAATACTTTCTTATAACCTTATGCAGAGATAATATTGGTGCTGACGTTTTGTAGTTCTTTATTTAACAAATGTCATGTGAATTTCAGCCTCTTTCAAAATACAGAAAAATATTATTTGCCAAATGGAGGATATATGTGGTAGGGGAAACTGTTGTAAAATAACAATGTCACAAAATATGAAAAGAAAAACCCCAAACACGTTAGCTTATTGTACAATAATGTCTGTAGTTCTACATGATAGACACAACCTTAAATTTGCAAAGTGGTGTATGAACTTTAAGTTTTAGCCATCCAGCTCTCCGCTGCAACCCTTAGGAGGATGGGAGGCAGATAGAACAAAATTGTCTTTTTCTTCTGAAGCTAAAGGTGATACAAAAGATTGTAGTTTGGTAACTCATGCATTCTTTGTGTAATCATTATTTAGGGTGAAAAATTTGGCCCGTTTGCAGGAGAGAAGCGAATGCCTCAAGAACTGGATGAAAACACAGACTGCAGACTGATGTGGGAGGTGAGATCTATGGGGCCGATTCTGCAAACGCTTACTATCACACGTAGTGTTTGCTACCATGAGTAATCCCAAAGTGGTATTACACTCAGTAGAAAGCATTTGCAGAATTAGGCTCTTAATTACTATATATTAAATAATTTATTAACTTCGAGGGACTATTTTGACCCCAAGTAGGAGTTTTTACAAAGCCTAACATCAATATAAATGTTTCTTTGATTTTTTTTTTTTTTAAAAATATGTTTAAGGGAAATCATTTCCTTTTAAGGGAATAAGGAATAACACCTAAATCCTGCTAATTTATGAGGCCCTAAGAATGAAACTAATTGCCATCCATGCTGAGGAATGTGAAAAAAGTAAACAACAAGCAAGGTGAAAAGCTGATTATGAATGCTGAAGCCTTTTTTAAAACAACAACAACAACGTATGTTAGTGATGGTTAAGAGACTGTTTGTTATGATGATTATTATTATTTTATTAAAATTTTTGCCTGACCATGCCCCTTTAAAAGCTAAACATATTGAAATGGAAGAGATTAAAAAATTACATTAGGGAGCAGCTTTGTGGCCTGATCATTGGGTTTGAGATACCTAGGATTAGGTCCTGTATTTGCTAGTGTTTGAAAACTTTTTCAAACACTGTTGCAGTCTAACATGGCTGTAAGGCTTTTTTGGGCCCCAGCCTCATGCTGCTTTCGAACTGTTCCAGTTGTATTGTAGATCTGTGCTGTAGGTTAGCGGGTAATTGGCTCCTCTCTTCTCACCATTCTGCAAGTGTAGAGGAGGATAAAGAAAGGAACTTGTAAAAGGGCCTAAAAATTGCAGAAGGGAAGGAGCAGTGGCTGCATGGCACAATCTCCTCAAGCTTTGGAGACACATAGCTGGGAGGGTGGAGCTCTGTGGGACTGATAGTCGGGAAGAGCCATGGATCAGCTACTCTATGGCATGCTCCCCTCAAGATACCACAGGTTGCTACAGAAAAACTGCATTACTTTTATATAGCACTTTCCACATTCAAGTTGTTTTAAGCAAGGATATTTGAAAGCAGAATTCAGTAAATCTGGAAATGTTTCTAACTCTTCATTGATATGAATTGGGCGTTGTGTTATACAGGTGGCTACCATTTTTTTTTTAATGACAATTGCAGTACAATATATAGCTGTGACGGGTTGTACTCCTCCCATCCGGGATGTCACCTGATGTACTGGGGTTTCACTGAACCTCTCCTGCTCCACCAGCCTGGATTCCCTCTCCTTGTTTTAATGAATTAGGTTCTCCAGCCTCTTGCAGCACACACACACAACTAGGGCCACACCTAGCTGCAGACGCAGACTGACGTCAGCTCTGTGAGAGAGGACTCACCCAGCACTCACGTGTACACTCCTTTTGGGAGATAAACCCAAAATAATACTGTCTTGCACTGTATAGAAAGATCTGCACAGCACAAGCTCATAAAAATTCGCGCTCTCCCTCAATGTGGAGAGAGATGTGCACAGCTTCTTGTCCCTCCTCCTGAGGTTGGAGGCATAAAGGTTACTATAACTTGTTTATTGTGTGGCAGCAGATGAAATGTCCCGTTCCCACCATGTATTCAAAGAATTATCTATGCATTTACTAAAAGGGAAATGAGGCGTTTTTAAAAATAATAATTTAGTATTAACATAGACTACATACACAATATAACCTGGTCTCACCACAATCAAGCTATCTGTAAAAGCATGCTAGAAATCAGATTCTGCATAGCTAAACAACTTGTGAAAGAATGCTAAAAGACAGCCTCCTGATACCCCAAATCAGTATAAATCTAGTGATGTGGGAACAGCAAAAGGTTCACAATTGGATGGTTTATTCAATCCTGTAAAGGTCTTCACCACTGATTTGTTCTCGTTTTGACTGGTTATGAGAGAATATATGCAGTGCAAACACACCTATGTTCCTTCTTTGTATGAGTTGGTTCTATATTCCAGGAGAGCAACTGATAGTTGTGGTGTCATGGCAACTGGCTTTATTTCATTGGCCTTCATCAATTTAAAAAAAATATGCATTTGAGGTCAGTTGTGTACTGAATGCCCTACAATTTGGTATCGTAGAACTATCTCGCTTTTTCACTACATTTCTACAGGTTACCTTCAATCAATAAGATATCCTACCTGGGGTAGACTTTAGAACACATTGGGTAGGTAAAGGCACCAAGATGAAGGCCTTCTAACTTAGGTTGCTCATGGAATGCAATAATCTTTCAAATGCCTTGTTGCTGATGTTTATATTGAATGTATCCTTTCTTTGTAAGGCAAAAAATAAAAGCCAAACACATGTGTTTACTGACAGCATTAACATGACCCCATTGATAGCAAACCAGAAAATGAGGGTTTTTTGGTGAGTTGTTCTAAAACCATTGCATGACATCTTACTCCAACCTAGTTTTGAGAGTCTTGAAAAGATTCCTGCATGCCAAATTTTATGATTTCCTGGATGTTTGAACCCAGGCAGTTTGTGTTTACTAGAGTTGATCTGAATACAAGTTCTATAATGTAATTTTAATCATGCTGAGTAGCCTGGAGTTGAAATTTGGGGCCAGGAATTTATAAAGTTAAAAGCAGCTGAACAGTCCAAACAGATGGTTAATCCAGAAACTCTGTAGGGCAGTTATAATAGCTTGCTAAGTTAGTAGCCATTTACTTGGACCAAGTGTAATATGAATACATATTTTAGTGACTATTAAGGCAAAATTACTTGAAAGTGTAATCTGTAAAATCAAAATACTGCATTTTTGGAGGCTAAGAAGGAAAATGCTCTACTTTTTCAGAGATTGGATAAATATGGACAGTGACAGAACATGTTTTCTCACTGTGTCATATGTGATCTTAGCCTCCATTTAGTGAGACCATCTTCTAGAAAAGTCAGGGGAAATGTAGTCTTTCTGCCGGGCTCACCTGAAAAAATATTACCACCATACGTTTCTGGTTGTGCACAATATGTTGTGGTCTGATGTGGTCTGTGCTTGATCTGTGATGAGAACAACATTCTGAATGAGCTTTTTTAAAAGGTCACACTGAAAGAGAACTGTACTTCCATGTTTTTCTTTGGTCTTTGTAAAACATAGTATTTAAAAGAATTATTGTGTTCCAGTGATCTGCAGTAGTTTTGTTAAATAACGATCTGAGAATATCAATATTTGTGATTGTCATATATAACAGAATATTCTTATTCTGCCTGCAATTCCTATGCAACTTGTACTCTTTTGAAGAAGTCAAACATTTACACTTGCTCATTCAAGAGACTCTCTAAAGGATTGATACAAGAGCATCCTGGATTCAGCTGTCAAATTCAACTCAGTAAGAGCTGCAGCTTGCAATTTATTATTGAAGAGTTAAGGGGGTGAAAAAAATGAAGGGTAGATAACCAAGTAGTTGTATTTTTTTTAAATGATTTCTAACTCAAACATTTTCTCTAAGTATCAGAGGGGTAGCTGTGTTAGTCTAGATCTGTCAAAAGCGATAAAGAGTCCTGTGGCACCTTACACGTCTGACGAAGTGGGTATGCACCCACGAAAGCTTATGCTCCAATACGTCTGTTAGTCTATAAGGTGCACCAGGACTTTTTATCGCATTTTTGTCTAAGGTCATCAGTCTCTTGGACTAACTGCATGTCATACTGTTTAGATGCAACTAATTTTTGATGATGATCTGTGAAAGAGAGCTTTGGCCTCATAATTTTTAGGGCCACCCAAATGCCCTGATGGAATTTATATATTCATATGCTGAAGTCCATCTATTTTATTTAGAATATAATCCAAAGCATGGCAATTTTAAACTTTGCTTTATTTGTCCAAAGGGAAAATAAAGGCAGAACAGAATACTCTTTGGGCATCGTATTATTTTACATAACTTTTTACCTCGGGAGGCTACTTTAATGTTACCCCCAGTATTTGTTTTCTGCAGGCTATGTGGGAGGGGGGAAGGTGTTCTCTTGCATACATTTTCTCATTTTCCCAAAACCAAGCAAGTGGCTTTTCATTTTGAGTAATGTTGGAATATGGCAAACATTGTTTTAGCATTGATTTTTGGCAAACATTAATGCAGAGAGGACTGGAAGGACTTAGTCCTTTCCAAATTTCCTGATAAACCATGAAGAAATGTTGGTCAGGATAAGCTGGCACATAATACACTTATAGCAATGAACATTATATATTTTAGGTTTGGCTTCTGTCTATCTGCCAAAATAATGCTGTAAATTAAATATGAGAGGCGCAGACACATGCTAGAAATCAGTCTTTTTATGGGAGCTACTGCTTATGTTTATTTATATTAGAGAATGAAATGAGCTTTTGTTTCTGCTACTTACTCTCAACACTGTTGCAGTGACAAATTGGTTACAGTTATAAGACCTGACTTCCATTGACTTCAGTGGGCTTTGGATCAGACCCCTAATGTTTCTGTTCAAGGTATGAAAAGTTGAAAGTTTTAAATTTAATCTTTGGTAGAATTATATCATCTTTCCTGCTAATCAGAAATGTGAGCTAGAATGGGAGAAGTGCCTTTTATACACAATGTAACAGCTCACAATATTTCTGAGATTTCATAGAAGAAAAAAATCTTGAACTGAAGCTTGTTATATTTTCTTGCTCAGAAGATTAATGCTTGCAATGTCAGTGAAATGGGATTCAGCAATGTAGTGTGCAGTTCTTCTATGACATGATGGAATGTTCTTCTGATGCTTTTATTCTTTAGAGAATTTTTACATTTTAAGGCATCTTCTAAAATGGTTTGCTTCAATGGGTCTGTAGGCAGCTTTGTTTACTCCTCTTTTCAGAAATATTCTTTGTCTAACTATTTCCCCTGCCATTCTCACAATCATGCACAGAAATGTATGTGCCTGTATTTAAAATTACCACCACATCCAAGCTCAAATATTGGAAATAGGGTTTCCAGTTGTTTTTCCCCTACCCTGATTTTAATTTTAATTTTCAAATTTTGGCATAAATTTTGACTCTTCTAGAAATGC